CTGTACTTTTGAGTTAAAATATATATTTATAATTTTAATAAATGACAAATTAAAAAGGCATGAACATTTTTTTGTATCGAAAAAATATCGAACCGTGACACCAAAGTATCGAACCGAACCGAACTGTGAATTTTGTGTATCGTTGCACGCCTAATATATACATACTAAGGTAAAACCTTGTTACATCAGTAGATGGTGATCCTGCACAGCTGTGGAGCCATTGGAAAGCATACAGCTACAGGTTCAGGCATTCAAAGCTCTTCATTGATCCACAGCTACTGCAAAGCTTCATTTTACATGGGTCTAAACTAAAGTCACGGAGTAACTGTCAGATATTGTTTTGAGACACGCAGAATTTTGTTTGGTAGTAGTTTGGGACATTGGCGGTAGATCATTTCCAGAATGCTGGTAATCTAAAAACTGAATTAAATTCTATCTGTTTTATATATCACAACAACCAAATCACAACAACAGTTACTTCAAAGAGGTTCATATTGTACAATAAAGACCAGAATAATACAAAGAAAACCCAACATTCAGACCACCTGGTGTATAAACACATAAAAAGGTGACTGAAGAAGAAACACTCAAAGCATCATGGGAATCATCCAGCAGGTTCAGCCCATAGCAGAGTAACTATAATCATTCATACTCCAATAGATGCATCAGAAAGGACTTGGGGCTATTATCTTGCCGAAGGATATTTGGCTTGCAAACATGGATCAGATAGATAGATGGGATCAATAAATAGGTGAGCTAGATAGATGAGATAGATATTTATTAATCCCTTCGGTAGGTTCCCCCTAGAGTGAGAGTGAGAGTGAGAGTATTTGAAACTGTATGAATGGCAATGGGCAGTTTAAGCAACAGCATCTCTACAGCTGATGGACATTTCTTTTATAAGCCAACAGCTCAGAGTTCATTTAGCTGACATAGTTTTGTGATACAAATGTAATTTGTAAAATATGAAATTTTTTTTAATATGAATTAACCTGAAAATAAATGCCTCTAACTTCACAACAAAAAGAAAAGAAAAACTGGCTTCATTGAACTGTCATTTTTAATGACGAATCCAGAAGATCTAAAACAAACAAATCAAGTCAAACCACATACTCACAGCAGAATGAAGTCCCTGACAGGAACACACTCCACCCAGCTATTGTTCCTTTGGGAAGGTCAGGAAGCACTGTGATTTCTCAGAAATGGTCTGAGCTTTATGCTGCAGCTTTAACCAGGAGGGAAAACCAGAGAAAAAACACCTTTACAAGCAGAACAACTTATTTGAAGCTTTATAATCAGTTTAACTCTTGATTTGTTGGTGCACTAAAGAGATAAAGCCCAGAAAACTGAAAACACCAAGTGAACGTGATTGAATACATTTAAGAGTTTCTCATGTTTTGACTGCTGTTTGACTGCTGCAACTGCGAAGGCCCGATCTCCTCTATGCTTTAATCGAGACCTCAGCTGTACTAAGAACATCTGACTATACAATCTCAGTGCTCTTTTGGGGTTATACAGTATATGTTTAGATATTTGCTTAAATAACTGCTCACCATACCATTTAAAACTTTGACAGTAAGTAAAAGAATTTTAAAAACAATATGATAATCGACAGGGAGCCAGTGTAGATTTGCTAAAACTGGAGTGATGAGTTCATACTTTCTAACACCTGTTAAAAGGCGTGCAGCGGCATTTTGGACTAACTGCAATTGTGGCTCAAGAGTTGGGAGTTCACCTTGTAATCGGAAGGTTGCCGGTTTGAGCCCTGGCTGGGACAGTCTCGGTCGTTGTGTCCTTGGCCTACTGGTGGTGGTCAGAGGGCCCGGTGGCGCCAGTGTCCGGCAGCCTCGCCTCTGTCAGTGTGCCTCAGGGTGGCTGTGGTGAATGTCATAAATGTTTTTCTAGGTCTTTAGGAGGAAGATAAGGCTTTGCGTTGGCAATTTCACATAACTGATAAAAACTGGTTTTCACAACTGTGGACACTTGCTTCTCTAATTTAAAAGATCTATCCAAAAGCACTCTGAGATTTCTTACAGTGTGGGAATGATGACAAGCAAGAGGACCAACTGTATCAGTTAACTTGTCCAAAGGGGCATCACTTCAATAAACATTTTGAGAAACATTTTGTCATCATCCTATAACTTCTTCAGTCTTAGCTGACTGCAGGTTTCCCCAATCTCATAAACAGTACATTTGCATACATTTGAGGTCAGTTTCTTAATCATTAATATGCAAACTGTCATGACCATTGATCAACAACCCATGCCTTTCATCAATGGTCATGAGTACCATTCACAGAAGGCTCAGTGGTCTAAGTCGGTAAACTGCAACTTTCACATTTGCCAGCCATGACAACAGCTCTGTGTACTGTTTTCACTTACTTTCACTTTTGTTTTTAGTGTTCACCTGTCTGTTACGTACTGGTTCAATCTGAAAATGTGACAAAGTGAGATTATTTGAAAAAGCTGAAATAGTTCAGTGGAACAAACATGATGAAACTAAAGGTAGTAAGAAAATTAAAGGTTTCAACTGTTGTCTGTTACAAGAAAAAAATACTGACTTGACATAAATACTGATATAAATTTAAGAATTTATTTAAAAGATAACTACAGTCAAAAAGAAAATAAAAAATTTAACCACAGTACTCACTGCACACAGGAGTTAGTCTCTCAGGTTGTTCTGCTTCTGCCTCTGAAGTCTCTGTAAGGAACAAACTTTGCACACCTTTAGCTTTTATAGGACATACAGAGAGGAGGGACTGATTTCTCAGATGGTATGACCTGCATATTTATTAAATAGGGAGGGGATAACCACAAGTCAGACTTGTTATACAGGACTTACAAAAAGAAAAGAAAAAGACTTTTTAGAACATCTTAAGCACCCACACTTTATTATTGCAGTTTAAATTTATTCATGCTTAGTTCATATATATACATATGTCATTCTTTAAACTTTCTTAAACTTTTTTCAATTTAAAGTTCAGTTTTTACATGAATATACACACATTTATTTACTCTTTCAGACTCTGACTCTCTGCTCTTGACCAATAACATATTAAGAACTTTCTGGAGTTTACCTGGTGGTATCCCAGTCCACAAGGTCACCACACTGATGCTGTTCACAAGACTGCAAGAGCAAACAATCTGGAGAATCGTGTTGCCTTCGTCACTTCACAATTAAAGCTGCAGTTAACTTTGTGTGCACCCAAATGAAGTCAAGTCAACTACTGCCTTCTGTGGCCAACAGAGGTGGCAAAAGTACAGACATTCTTTACTTAAGTAAAAGTACAGATACCTGTGTTAAAAAGTATTCCAGTAAAAGTTGAAGTAGTGATTCCGCTTCTTTAATCAAGAAAAAAAGTAGAGGCTCTGAAATGCACTCAAAGTAAGACAGTAAAAAGTAGCTCCTTCAACAATGGTTCTATTTTCAAAGCTTCAGTTGCAAAGCTAACTGAACCTATGATATAATGATAAAATAATAATAGTAGATGGGAATACAAATTTCAGTTTAGTCTCATTTTTAATTATAACTGCACTAATTTAAATAGAATGTGAGCAGAGAAAGAGAAGGAAAATCAAAAATAGCTCTGTTTTTTGTTGTCTACATTGTCAAATCAAATCAAATCAAATCA